TAATTAGAGTTGGATTGTAACTCAATTTCTGATCCTCCATTGAGTTTGAGTGCTAGACCGATCCAAACTCCAACCCTTATCCGAATGTGTTCTCTTCTTATAAGGAGACATCTTCTCCTTATCCCATATGCAATCTTTTCGATCAGGTCAGAAGATATTCAGAAGATATTGTTGCTTGATCCCTAAGGACTTATCTTCTTCACGTGCATCTCATGTGCATGGGCCATAACAACTGTGTCTCCTAAGATGGACCTGGTCCTTCACTGAGTTCATTTGTCATTCTTCAAAACTTCAACTGATCTTGGGCCAACACAATTCAAAACTTTCTCTTCCAAATTAACGAAGATGACCAACCCCCAAGATAATCCGGGCACTCCTCCACAACCTATCCCCTCTGATTTCTCCACCCCTCCTCAACCCAGCACAACCCCCAACCTAGGAGAAGGCGAGTGAAGATGCTTGCTCGCAAAACTGTGGCTATATGTGCGATTTCAAAGAAACTGAACGCAAAATTGAAGGCTGGCCAAGCCCAAGATTCTGACAACTCAGAAAACTCCTTCAAATCTGCGAGTGAGGGGGAAGGAACTGGGTCTTCTGATTCTGAGAAGGCTCAAAATCCCCCTTCTGAGGTACGTTCTGTTCTAGTTAAAAATTTGGATAATAGGTTTGTTCTGGTTGGGTCTGTTATGAATGTGGAAACGCCTAAGTCAAGAAGGAGAGGAGGTAAAAGTAAAAGTGAAAAAGAAAAGGAGAGTGAGGTGTGAGTAGTGATGTGAGGGGAAGAGCGACAGAAGTGGCTGATTCTTCACCCACTTCTGAAATGGTTAGACCATCTATCAGTGGGGCTAAGGATGAAATTGTGGTAGAAAGTAGCAAGAAAACAGAGGGAAGTGGCTCGGGAGGCTGCTGAAGGGATGGTTAATCTAAGTTCACATGTAGATGAACCCGGTTCATCTATTGAGGAGACCCTAGCAGACCTTCTGAAGAAAGTGGGTGAAAGTTATAACCCCAAGAAAGGAGAACCCCAACACCAAAAGCTCACAGCACTGCAAAAACTACCAAGAAAAGAAAGGCTGCTTCTCCAACAACTGCTAAGATTCATCTACCAAAAGGAAGGGCCACAAGGAGTATGTTGAAGCAGAGTGAGAATGAGTTACAAAAAGTTATGGCTGAAAGCAAAAAGAAGAAAATGGACAAAGGGAAAGCCAAGGCTGCAGAGCCTGCTGAGGCTGTTGATGTGGATGAGATGGAACAGGTCCATCAGGAAGAACATACAACTGTGGAGGTACAGACCCCTAAGCCCAAGACTTCTTCCAAGAAGTCTTCATCTGTATCTAAGACTGCTGAACCTTCATTGGCTAAAAGGACAAGGTCTGTTGTCAAAGCCAAGCAAGTTAGAATTACTGAGGAGGAGGAATGGAGTGGTGAAGAAGTGAGTGAATCTGATGCTGAACAAGACAAACTAGCCAAATTTGGCAAACGAACCATTTTGAAGGGTAGACTTCTGAAGAATTTGGAGGAACCAGGGATGGTTCGACTAGTTGATGCTCTTGTTGCTCAGGGTTGGAAGGACATGGTCCTTCAGTTGGATGGCAGGCTGTCATGGAATGAGATTATAGAGTTCTTGGCCAATGCAGAGTTAAAGGATTGCAGAGTTACCAGCCAAGTGAGAGGGGTTCATGTGTCATTTGATGCACAAAGGCTGGGTGAAATCCTTGACATTCCCTCTGAAGGGTATGATGACTACACAAGGCAAAAATGGCCAAGTCTGCACTCCCTTCCCACTGCCCTTGCCATCACTAGGAATTTCTATGATGTCCCAGATGTGAATGAAGCCAAGGTCGTGTATAAGAGTGAAATGAATCCATGCCACAAAGTCCTGTTTGAATTTGTCAACAAGTGTCTGCTGCCTAGGCAGGAAAGAAGACATTGCTAACTACATGGATTTGGTGTTGATGGAGTGTCTTGAAAGTGGAAGGCAGATCAACTGGCCTACATTTATGATCAAGCTGCTTGATAGGATTATCAATGGCTCCAAGGCCCATGCCACTCCTTATGGGTTTATTCTCACAGCTGTCCTTGCATGATGTAAGGTGCCATTGAAGAAGTGGGAGATGACCACAAGCAAAGATCATTTTGGAATAAACACTCTGATTGCTTGTGACTATGAGGTTAATGCCATTCCCAAGAAACCTGGTTCATCTAAGAAGACGCCTATAAATAGCAAGGTCAGAGCTCTATTGCAGGAGAGTGGGGCAAATGATGCTGAGATAGCTAGGCTGCAGACTGGTTTGGCAGAGGTTGAATCTGAGAGAGATGCTCTCAAAACTGAGCTCACAAAGGAAAAGGAGAAGAATGATGGCATTCTTCAAGACATGTTGCACCTTCTCCAAGCCAAAACCCAACCCTCCAGTTCTTCCAAGCCTTAATTTCCTTAGCCTTCACTCCTTGATAGTTGTCTAGATCCTTCAGTGACCTAGATTAGGGATTTTTCTTGTTTTGCTCATGTTTTAACTGTTTTTGTTTCTTTTTATGGATTGTGGCAGAATCATATTATCTATCAATGAAGTTTGTTGTTTTTTCTTTTGTTGATTGTTTATTTTTCCTTGATAGTTTGAATATGTTTTTGGTTGATTACTGATGATTAATCCATGATTGCACTTGCAGCTGCCCCAATAGCCATGAGTAATTTGTAAAATTCTGGGGATCACGCTGTGTTTATGCAACTTTTCGATGATGCCAAAAGGGGGAAGAGATATTGTGCTTTATATTCTGAATAAGTGATGTTTATAACCTAATGAACCTGGTCCTTAATGATAAGTGAAAAATTTCTAACTTTGTATTGATGAATAAGCTGAGTTCTGACAGGGCCGAAGTGAATGAAAAGCACAGAGTTTGTCATCATCAAAAAGGGGGAATTTGTTGGCCCAAGTAAAGGAGAGTTTTGAAGATTGACAAAGGAACTCAGACATGGACCAGGTCCATCCTAGTGAAGCACAGATATGGTCAACTCAAGCATGTGAGATGCACGTGAAGGAGATAAACCTAACTTACCAGAAGTGATATCTCCTAATCCTGATCGAAAAGGTTGCATATTGGATAAGGAGAAAGACTCCTTACTCAAAGAGAACAAGGCTTAAGAGAAGGATAGAGTTAGAGGTTGAGATCAACTAGAACTCTTCCACCAAGGAAGAGTAGCATCAGAAGTCTAGTCAATCTCTAATTACTAACTCCATAAATATCAGTCTTCTTCTCTTTTACAGGTAACGCACATAAGCAGAAGTTAAACGTGAATTGAGAGCAAAATAGCAAGGCAATTTTGCAAGCAATTTGTGTGTGATTCAAGCGTGCAAACCTGAAGCTACTTGAACAAGATAGAAGAACCAGTTCCAAGTGTCTGTCTTTTATTCTAGTTTAATTGTAGTAGTTGTTTTCATATTGTACCTTTCGGCTTATCTAGATGCAATTGTATTAGGTACTCAGAGTTTTCAAGTTAGAGTTACTTGAAGTTGTCGCAACAGTTGAGGCTGTGTGCTACAACGGGATTAGAGTTAATCCTAGGTTTACAAAAGAGTTTTTGTAAATGCAGTTTTTGGCTCAGTGATTTTAGTGGAAGTTTGGAAAAATCCTACTGGAAAGTAGGTCTTTTTTTTTTACCTTTTGAGCCAGGTGTTTTCCACGTAAAATTTCTGTGTTCTTTAATTTCTGTAATTATTATTCCGCAACAGTAGTAGTTGAAACACATAGAAGAACCAGGTCCTTCAATAATCAGGTTAAGCGAAAAATTGGACACCACACATTTCACCCTCCCCTCTTGTGTGGTATTGAAGTATAAAACATAAGAGGACATGACACTTTCGCTAAAGTTTTTGGTCCATAGAAAATACCAGAAGCATTGTTCGTGCACTGTGCAATGTCACAGGGGCGGTCCACATAGGTTCAAGGAGATTCAAATATTTTTTACTATTTTTATGTGAAAATTATTTTTCGAAGAAACAAAACTGCTATAAAATTAAACTAGTTGAACCCCCTTAATCAAAGTTGTGCGGCGGCCGGATGGTAAGTGGGTCAACTCTTCGAATGGTCGTGCGTTTGAACCCAAGCTCCAGCACAATTAGTGGGCGTTTAGACATAAGAATGGTAAAACTTTAAAATATGGTGAAAATGGTATTTGAAATTTAGAATTGTGTTGGACATGAATATAATTTTGGGTTGTTTTGAAGTTTTGTGAGTGATTTGAGCGAAAATTTTAGAAAACAGAGTTTTTCAAATTTTTAAAAATTTCCAAAATGCATCTTCAAGTGACAATTGAAAATTTTATGAACAAACGCTGATTTCCAAAAAAGTAAAATTTTTTTAAAAAAAAAAAGGAAATTTTTTTTTACGTCCTTACGGGCTCTTAGGTTTTTTTCACTTTCAAAATGCAGACAGCTTTATCTCACCCCGCTTCTCTACTTTCACATGCACCAAAATAGAAAATCTCTTGGTTTCTCGTTATGCTCTTCTTCTTCCTCTTCTTTTGTTGTTTATTTTAGTTTAGTCTCTTTCCATAATTTTGAAATTTCTATATGAAATTATTAATATCTTTTTTTTTGGTTAACGGTTAGTGCAAGTCAAATTAAAAATAATAAATAAATAGAGTTTAGTAATTTAATATAAATAAAACTTATGTTTGTTACAGTAAAATTTATATTAAAAAATTGAGTTCAATAAATTATTAAATTTTAAAGGTAAAAAAATATGTTGTTAAGATTTTGTTTGAACCAAAATAAAGAACACTAGGTAAACCTTGTTGTTGGTTAACTCTATATCACTTTTATTGCCAATTACCTAATTTTTAACCATATTTAGATTTCCAACAAAAAGTTCACATTTAGAATACTACTTTGTTTTGATTTGAAAAAAGAGAAGAAATTCACAAAAAATATTTATTTTGGAACTAATGATTTTATAATTCTTTGTTTTGTTTGTTTATTTATATCTTCTAAAAGAAAACCAAAAACGAAAAGAGTGAAAAGGACCTATATAGCAAAAAGGGGAAGAGCTAACTCTTCTAGAGGTGCGAGTAAATGGGGAGGGATGAGAAGACGACGGAGGAGAAGAGGAAGCATAAGAGAAATTCGCCTTCTTCTCCACGAGGTTTTTTCCCTTTCTTGTGTCTTCCAAAAGCTAATTTTTGAATATATATGAGCTTATACGTGTTTGTGTCTAGATGAAGTGAAAAGCAAACGCCATAATATCAAAGGGGATGAAGACCGAAGGAAAGAAAAGAAGGACAAATCCAAGAAGGAGAAGCACAAATCCCATAAATCCAAATCCCATTCTAGTGAAGGTACTTGCACAATTTTTATTTTTGTTTTAAATTTTGTATATGAGTTCTGTTCAGTATTATTACAAAATAAGCTGAGAATTTACTGATTTTTTTATGAAAATTTAAGGATTTTGTTATTTAATTGGGCTCTCAGAAGGGTTCGTTTAGTTCCGTAAAACGTTTGCTATTTAGTATTTCATGTTGTTGCTGTTAGGGTTTGCTGCACTGATTAGTATAATGAGTTTGAAAATGGAAAGCAAGTATTATGTTGCTCAGCAATCCTTTTGCTTTGTTTTCCAATTCAATTGATAGTTATGTGTAGGTTATGTGATCTGCCATTTATTGAGTAACTAAACAATAAATTAGGGCTGCACACAAACACATATAAAAAAGAAAAAGGAGAAAAATGATGGGTACATATGTGCAAATAGTTAGAACACCATTTACAACAACAGCAACCCAGTATAATCCCACAAGTAGGGTCTGGGAAGGGTAGTGTGTACGCAGACCTTACCCCTACTCTGGGGGTAGAGAGGTTGTTTCCGATAGACCCTCGGCACAAGAAGATGACATGCGACAAGAGAATAGTAACAACAACAGAGCCAGAAAGATAGTACCAGCAAGCCAAGAGTCAGAAAATATACCTGGTAAAGCAATATCAATAATGATGGGTTAGAACACCATTTGCCTTTGGAAATGATGGGTGCTTGCTAGTCGCTAAGCCTTCTTCTTTGAAATGGAGTTCTCTGTTCAGATCTTCCATTTACAATGGTGTTATTTACTGAACTCCAAGATCTTAGAGTGCAATCCATGTACGGATGTGAGTCAAAGCTAGGATATCTTATTCTAATAACTGAAAAGGTCTTCGATCGCTGTGCACATTTTGTTCAAATAGAATTAGGTTCCCTTGGGTTCTTTCAACTCTTTATATAGTGATGGAGTAACTAATAGTCTTAGAGATAGAGTTGTGACTTGTCAGTAATGATCTGTTAGATTTTAGGCAATCTTTTACAATGAAAACAAAGGATCAAAGGCTGGATCGCTGGTTCTACTTCATGTTACTAACCTTTGTTCTTGGTATTATTAGGTTTCACTCCATTATTTTGTGTGACTCATTGTGACATCTTGTTGGTAGCTTATAGATTTATACCACTATAGTTTTTCTTTTGATGAACCGGGGATTATTCATTAGAAATTACTCACTAATGCAGTTTTGATCCTGTGGATCATTACATATACCACTATAGTTATTTTGTATGATTATTATAGCAAGTGGTCGTTTCTGAATTTTAAATATTGTATGTTTATACATGGGGAGATGTGTTTGCAATTAAATTAAATGGTTTCCCTTTTTGTTACTGGTTTGGTGCTAGAAGTTATGTTAGACACGCTGACTCACTGATATTGCTTCAGAGAAGAAGTCAGGGGAAAAGCACAAAACCAAGAGCCACAAACATAAGGATAAATCGGTGAGTGCTTCTTGTTTAATACCTACATTTCTTTTGCTTCAAATAACATTCTCAAGCTTATCATTTTACTCTGTATCATATCTCGTGGAAGGAAAATTGTTATCTGCTCGCGTAGATATTATCCTTCGCACTAATTTGTTGCTGTATGTAGGTAGCATTGGTTTAAGTTGGTGTTGAATCTGTTGAATATAATAGGTTGCTCGTCTTTTTCCGTTTTGGCTGGAACTGATAGTTAGATATAGCTTTCTTGTGGTATGACCTTTCAGCTATCTATGTTAATTCTTGTAGAGAGTCTTCATTACATATGTGGCTGGCTGATGCTTAGAAATAAGTCTGTAAACTTGGAAAAATACTGGAGTTCCATTTTCTTCAGTTGTGATATCTGAAATCTTGGTTGGACCATTGCCGTCTTGATTGCAGATATAAAATATTTGTGAAGTAAACCAAGGTATTCATATATGGAGGAATCATTCTTTTGAAGAGAACTTGTCAGATTCAAGAAGGGCAATAATTTCTGTGTGGTGAATTGTTAATGGCGTCCACACTATCAGAGCTCTTTAATACTTGAAAAGTTGTTAGACTGTAGCAGTAGCAGTAACTGTTTTTGCCTCTGTTCTTTCTCATGACTTCCTTTGTGAAAATAAGCAGGACATCCATTTTCACTCGGGCTTTATTCGTTATCTTTGATTTTTAATTATTTTGCTTTACCTTCTTTCTCAGAAAAACAAGTTTGAAGAGTTATCAAAAGATGATTATTTCTCTAAGAACAATGAATTTGCTACTTGGCTGAAAGATAAGAAGAATTTGTTCTTCTCAGATCTTTCGTCTGAGACTGCACGCGATTTATTCTCTGACTTTGTCATACAATGGAACAAGGGAAAGCTTGACAGCCAATACTATGAGGGAATTGCAACCGGGCCTCGGTCATCCCACGCTTGGAATATCAAAAAGTAATAGAATTCCATGTTTCTTCTCTTTAAGGAGCAGTTGTGTTGTCTTTTTTCCAGTTGTCCTATGGTTATGTCTTAGGCTTCTGTATTTTTGTGTTTTCTTTTTTCAGCAGAACACGCTTAGTCTTATGAAGTTACTTTCTTGGATGCTGGTAAAATCACCATCTCTGATGTAAGCTATGTTGCCCGGACTCTCCAAAATCTTGTCGCACCCGTGTCGGATCTTCCAAAAATGTACTACTTTGAGAGGATCAGACACGCACCTGGTGACATTTTCGGTGAGTCCGAGCCAACATAGGTTGTAAGAGCTAGTTACCTTCTATGCTAGTCCTACCATATGACTTGTCATTTATCAAGGCCTTCGGGTGCCGAGACGGACAATACTTCCTTATGATTTTTTATTCATACTTTCTATATATGTATTAAAAACTTGATTAAATATATATAAATATTAAACTATAAATTCAATTATTATCGTATATTAACTTGAGATATATTAACTTGAGGTTACTGTAAGAATTTTAAATTTTAAATACGCTTATGTTTGAGTGCCTATTTGGTAACCCAAAACACTATACAGTGATATATTCAAAAAAATGTTCTAGCTTGGAGATGGTGCTTTGCTCCAGCCTCCAGTGTGACCACTGACCATATATATATATATATATATATATATATATATACACACACACAGCAAATTATGTATACAGAAGAAACAGCTCGAAATTATGTGGCTCAATTTTTTGATTGGGATTTTAGTGAATGATCAGACAAAGCCCAATTGGGCACACTTTTAAAGGGTTTTTTACATTGTCAGTTACTTATTAAATAGATCATTATTTTTGTTTTATTCCAAAAAGAGCACATTCATACAATTACAGCATTTTTTCAAAATCATGTACGTTTAGTACTCCTCAAATTTGTAAACATAGTCCACAATTTGAGGATTTAATTTTGAACCATAATAATTTGTCCCTATTTCTCTCCCATCATTAATATATACTTGCAGTTTTTATGAAAGTTCAGGATCCCCTTTTTTATTATTATATCAAACAAAGTCTAAGTAAATTCACATTTTTATTCCATGTTTGAAGGTGTGTGTGTGTGGGTGTATATATATATATATATATGTAATTATAAATATATACATATGTAATGAATATATTGTGTATATTCGCCTATACCGAACTCGTTTTATGTCTATGCAACGTATAATTTTGTATACATAACGTATAAACAAATATACATATTCAAGATATGTATTATATATATTTAATGTAAAATTATAAATACTTGATGTGATCAATATATAGTTTAAGTATATTTGACATTTGAAACATATACTCCGCATATATATGTGATATATTTTTAATTTATATTTGATGTACATTATGTACAAACAATAACATATAAGTGTATAAATATACTATTAGGATATTGAAACAAACACATTTACTATGGAAATAACTTTAAGTTTACAGATCCATAAAATACTTATGATTTTTCATTAATCTAATTATATTTTTATTACTGTATATACGAAAATAACAACTAAAAAATATAAAATAAGTGCTACTTTCCTTTGGAGGATTCATACATATATGCTTTTTGGTTGTGACATCAATGTTAGAGGAGAGATGTGTGTTGAAGGTAATTAAATGGGTTGTATAATCTGATTAAAAGTTTTGGTAGAGATGAGTATTAATAGGACTAATTTTCGGTAATTAATAGGACTGATTTTCGGTCCTTTATTTTATTAGAATCTGTTCACACACGTGGAAATTTGATTTTTGTTCCAGCATTATATGTTTTAGTCACTGTAATTAATTAGTTGCTAGTTTGTTACTTACTAATTCCTGTTAGGATTCTGAAATTTTTTCTTAAATATTGCCTAATTATGTTTTTTTCCCCACTTTAAACAGTACTCTAGCTGTTTTGATTTTTCATTTTTTCTTTCACTAATAATTAAAGCAATAAACGGCGTACAAATATAGCTACGGCCGATTAATTGAATGACCAACACTTAATTTCAACGTATACTATGGAAATACAACAACAACATACCCATTATTATCCCACATCGTGAGGTCTGGGGAGGGTAGTGTGTACGCTGACCTTACCCTTACCTTTTGAAGGTAAAGAGGCTGTTTCCAATAGACCCTGTCAAATGGAACGCGGTGAGGAATTTTCATGGAAATGGAAGAGTTTAATTTTTAATTAGTGCTTTAGCAATGGGGAGGATTAGGGAATTTGCATTTCTGAGGGAGTTGCATTGCAAGTGTTGGATCAACTCCTAAAGAAGGCAACCACTGAGAATTCTTATAAGAGCAAAGACATCCCCAGTCTGCATGTGCCAGTGCGCTGCAGCATTTGGCTGTCGGCGCCGAGGGGTTCGGGGGTGTTACGGATGGTTTACATGACATTAAACCTTCTCCTGATACGTTACATATTCCCTGTGCCCGCGACACTTCTATGCTAAAACTGCTTAACACAATGGCAACCAAAGCCAATGCCACAGTTTTTTTAGCCAAGTAATAATGCTCCATCTCGAATTCTTCTTTTTTCTTCTTATCGATTTGTTTCAATCTTTGTGTGTGTAGGGAAAAAGCATGAGATGAAGGGGTTTATATATAGGTAGGTGTGTGTGTGTGATTGGCCTATTGGGTATGGATTATGGGTTATGGGCAGGGGATGGGTGGATCCAGTCTTCCCGTATCATGTGCATGTGAATCCGTAACTTTCGACTAGGAATATAAATTTATGTGTAAAAATTTACTAAAAGCTTATATGACCACATAACTTTAATAATATAATAGGTTAACGCTAATGATATAAAAGTTAAACTCATATAGTTTAAATGCTGAATTTGCCTCGGGGCATGGATAGAATAGCTACTGGGAATCCGTGAAAGTTCATTGGATTTACTTTCTGGCAAAACTGTGGTGTCACGGACTCTGGTTTTAATGTGTAGTCAAGTGGCGATTCTCATTATATATCAGTGCATTGACCATTTGATCCTTGTATATTGATCTTCACTATTAGTATTCACTCGTTCTCAAGTAGTGTCTCTGTCAAGTTTAACTCATTCGTCTCATATTTCCAGCCTATTTATTCTCAAGAATCACACAACCCTCTTCTTGAGGATGTCGAAAGGGGCGGTGCGGGTGCGGGACAGTGTGGGTCTGGAAATTTACGGCTGCGGGGCAGGCGGATTCAATTTTTAAATTAAAAAAATCACGGGGCGGGTCGCAAATTGGGGATTTAATTTTTTTAACTAACAGACATAAAGGCTAATACTATGTTCTTGAGCAGTCTTAAATTAGGAACCATCAATCAAAAGCCAAGACTGTTTTGCTAGCATAAGTTGGAACCAACGAACAAACTTTTGGCATAGATTTTATACTTGCAGATGAAAGTCATTCTAGAACCATTGTAAGTTATAAAAATAATTGTATACGGTAATGCCATGGAAAATACAAATAGTGAACTAATGACAGAACAATTACATATGAGACAACAATTAGGATTTCCCATGGCTAATATTTATTGGCAAAAAAACCACAAAAAAAGAGAGAATTTTTATTTAAAAAATTTGCGGGGCGGGGCGGGGCGGGTGAATGCGAGTAGAGTGTGGGCGGGCGGATGCGAGTTTAAATCCTATGCGGGGCCGGGCAGGGTGGGTTGAAATTATGCGGGTTCAGACAGAATCCGCACCGGCTGCCGTTCCTACGAGTTCCTTATTCATTTCAGTTTTTTTTTTCCGTTATTATCAAGTACTCCCTCTAGTTCAATTTATACAACATATTCTGCTTATGAATATTTAACTTAACTCATTTTTTAAGCTAATTGAATTAATTCAATTTCGTATTTTAAAACTAAAATATAAATGTTCAAAAACTATACGAAATGTATTATAGTTGTACAATTTTTCTTATGTCAATATATAATAAAATACATTCTAAAATATTGGTCAAACATTACACCTTCTAAATCTCGAGAAATAAAATGTGTCACGGAGGAAAAATTATTTTTCACAAAAACATCCAAAGCTGCAAGATTATATTTTCAAGTTTAGGCAGTTCCCTTGAGGAGTCTTCATGGGAATCGATTTGATTCGACTCTTTAACTGATATTCGATAGTCACGAGATAAATGAATATAAAGCTAGCTATGACGTAAACAGGTAAACTACTAACATCATGACTTATATTTGTCTAAACAAAAGGGGAAAACACGGGAATACATATAAAAGTGAAACTATTTATCTTGCTTTACTCATAAAGGAATTCTACCCATTAAATAATTACAATCTCCTACCCATTTAATAAATAAATGGGTATATCAAAATAACTACCCCACGCTTAATGGCCTACCTATAAAAACCCAAAAGTTGCTCAAATTTTCCGAAAATAAGCGCACAAAATTGAGATTTCCACCGACATCCCCTAATTTGAAGATCGCTAAGTGTGAAAAAACAGACCGAAGATACTGATTCACATCTTGTTTTCGGATTTTGATTTCGCTGGCAAAGAAGAATGTCAAAAATTATAAGTATTACAGAAGTTTAGCGCTCAAACTTCTGAACTTTTAGCTGAAAATTTTATTCTCGGTTTCGAGATCTGGAGATCTAGAGGTTTGATTTCGAAAAATCTTTTGTTGAAATTCAATATTTGACATCAACATTGTTGAAATTTGCATTGTTGAGATTCACTTTTGAACATAAAAGTGATTATAACTTCCGAATCATGGAAAATATACCAATTCTGCTGCAACATAGTGGAGAATGGGATGATAACAATAATTTCATAAATTTTCATGTTGATGCAATTCTAATAAAGACCTTTTGGAAATTTGAACAACTTCTTAGAGAAATTGCAAAGCAACTGCAAAAGCACAGTAACACAATAGTTATTCAGTATGCTATTGCTCAAGGATATTCACCAATTACAATTTGCAGTGATATGAGTGTTAGTGTTTACATGGAATTGAAAAAATCAAGTGCAGGGATGACAACACTTCCCCTGTGTGTGTCGTTTGCTAAAAATACTATAGCTGCAAGCACCTCCAGTTTCGATGTTCCTCCAATTTCATCTGAAATTGCACAATTTGAAAGCACTGATATGATTTGTATGTTTGATGTGCAAGAAGGAGATGACACCAGTTTAGAACTTGATGATGCAAACATCATAACTGATCAATTTTATCAAAAAGTTGAAAAAGGACAAATTTACAAAGATAAGAACCTGCTGGCTCTCGTTATGAAACAGTATGCTGTTAGAGAAAAATGTCAATATCGGGTTAATAAATCATGCCCAAGAAGGTTCGTCTGCATGTATTCAAGTAAAAGACTATGTGATACCTATATAGTATATAAGTATGCTAAATCAGTATACTGTGCGAGTATGGAATTGTATTGGTTTGTCTGTATTTTTTATCAGTGATACTGGTATAAGTATTCTATAATAGTATACTATGCGAGTATATAACTGTACTGGTTTGTCTTTGTTATTATCAGTAAAACATAATACCAATATAGTATGTATGTATGCTAAATCAGTATACTATGTGAGTATATAATTGTGCTGCTTTGTCTATGTGAGTATATAATTGTGCTGCTTTGTCTATGTCTTTTATCAGCAAAATATGATACTGACAGAGTATATAGGTATGCTATATGAGTATACTATGTGAGTATATAATTGTACGGATTTTTGTGTGTGTTTTTTATCAATAAAACATGATACATAACTGTATTTGTATTATAAACAGGTATACCCTTGAATGCGTGGATGAAAGATGCACTTGGAGAATTAAAGCATCAAACCTGCGAGCATCAAATCTTTTCAAAGTGACGGATTTCAATTCTGTCCACAGTTGTTTAACTGATAAGAGATTTTGTTCACAAAAGCAAGCTGTCTCAGCTTTTGTTGCAGCTGTGGTACAAGATAAACTTGTTGACAAAAACCATATATACACCAACAGATATCCTGAGAGATATCCAAAAAGCATATGGTATGGACTTAAGCTACATGCAAGCATGGAGATAAAAAAAAAAAGCAATGCAATTGTTGAGAGGAACACCAAGTGAGTAATACAAGAAAATACCAACATATCTTTATATGTTAGAGTACGCTAACCCAGGATCAGTAACACGACTACACACTGAAGGAGTTGGGAGCTTCTTGTATGCATTCATAGCTATATATGCATCGATTAGAGGATGGATCTATTGTAGGCCAACAGTTGTAGTTGATGGAAGTTTTTTAAAGTCAACATATAGAGGGACCATACTCACGGCTTCCACGCAAGACGCAGAGGGTAAGAATACAATCCAACATTCAGTTAAAGAAACAAAAAAGATTTTCAAATATTATATGATACCAGTATGGTATACAAGTATACCAACAGAGTATATAATTATTTTGATACATACATGCGCCTACCTTTGCCTACTGTATGAAATACTAAATTAATATTGTGTGTACAATCCAATTACATTCAGTTAAAGAAACAAAAAATATTTTCAAATATTATATGATACCAGTATGGTATACAAGTATAACAACAGAGTATATAGTTATTTTGCTACACACGTGCACCTACCTATGACTATACTACTATATGAAATGCTAAATTAATATAGTGTGTTGTAATTGATATTTTGTTCTTTGGGTTTACAGGACAAATTCTACCCCTCGCATATGCAATTGTTGATTCGGAAAATGATGCATCGTGGGAGTGGTTCTTCGTGCAGTTCATAGAAACCTATGGACAAAGAGAGGGAATGTGCATCGTATTAGACAAGCATGATGGTATATGGAGAGCAACTTCAATTGTCTATCCAGAAGTCCCTCATCGTGCATGTATGTTCCATTTGTGGAACAACATAAAGACAAACTACAGGAAGAGCCAAAAACAAATCAAAGAAGTATACTTTGCGTTAGCAAGAGCATACACTGTTGAGTAATTCAACAGACATATGGCAGAGTTAGAAGCTATTGATAGTAGAGTGAAAACATACCTGATGGATATTGGATATGATAAATGGTCCCGGGCGCATTCCAAGGCAAATAGAACCATGACCATGACATCGAATATTGCGGAATCAGTAAATGTAGCAAACAAGCACGCAAGAGACCTCCCAGTTGTGAATTTGCTTGACTTTATGACAACATTGATTCAAAAATGGAATTACACCAATCGAAAGGATGCAGTGGAATCATTTATGAAGATTGGTGCAAAGTGTGAAAAAATATTGGCAGATAAAACTATCTTATCACATACGATGACGGTATGCATTTTCAAAATCATAAAAATACTGCATGTACTGTAGTTTTACCTTTTTACCTTAGTGATTTCACTAAACAACTGAATATTGTTATTTAAAAAATACTATTACTTCATATAGCTAATGATTTTTCTTAATTAATATTATACTAGGTGTTGCCATCAACTGAATTCTTGCATTTAGTAATTGATGGCCAAACAAGAAATGTGGTACGCCTACATGAAAAAAACTGCACTTATGGGAGGTTTCAGCTAGACGATATTCCATGTCCACATGCAATGACAGTTATACAAAAATTTCATATGGATTCATACAAGTGTTGCTCGGATTACTACAACATAGACTACTTGCTGAAAACATATGAGATACCAGTAAATCCTTTGCCTGATGAAACAACGTGGCAAATTCCAGAACATGTCTCTTCGCAGGTGGTACTGCCACCAAAAGGAAAAATCAAACCAGGAAGACCTAAAAAGAAGAGAGGCATAGGAGGCTGGGAAGGAAATATAGTTACATGTGCACTATGCGGGAAAAAAGGACACAACCGGAGAACATGCCGAAATATTCCAAAGAGAGATTGATATAATGCTTCAATGTTTTTATAGAACTCATATATCGTAGAACCATAGCATTTGAATTGCAAAGAAATAAAATGCATTTCTTGCACTAGACATATATTTGGTATGATGATTCTTTGCCAAATTACTTTTTGGCAACAAATTTATATGGCTACTTGTGTTTTCAATAAGAATCTGTTTATTTTCTATTTTAGTATATAAAAGTGGGATGCATTTACATCTAGTTGCTACAGGAAAAAAGATGCTAAAATATAAATGTGATACCTAGGTGGTATATCTGTATACCTTATTGGTATATCTGTATATCTTATTGGTATCAAAATATGTGCAGAAATAGAAGTAGTGCCGCAAATACAACATTTGTACATACATCATTAACAAAATGGGCACGATTTGCAGCTCATGTCTATATTGAAGTAAAACAAATTGGAAGCCATTTACATGCAGTTATTGTACATCATCAGGTACATAAATACAAGGTGATACCCAAATGGTATATTTGTATACCTTACTGGTATATAGTTGTATTGCACTAATATGGCTAAACCAAAATATGCGCAAAAATACAAATGGTGCACCAAATACAACGTGATACCCAAAATGCGCATGCTTCGCAACTCATGTCAGTACTTACATCTAGTTGCTGCAGGAAAAAAGGTACTCAAATACAACGTGATACACAAATGGTATATCAGTATACCTGATTGGTATATAGTTCTACTGCACTAATATACCTGAAACAAAATCTTTGTAGAATACAACTGGTGTAGCAATGCAAATTATGCACGGATTTTCATAGATTCAACTACAACTAACAACTACTCTCAATATAATTTCAAAACCACTTCACTTTCTGAAAATATTTCTTCTCATTCAAATCAATACTCGCCCTGTTATTCAACAAAATAACAACATAGTTCCTCTTTTTGAACATCGTAACTCCCTTAAAAATACACTTCCAAAAATAACTTCTGCTGGTGTATTACAGCGAACTAACAATGCTCCTCCTACAAATGGCAGTAGTAGTAGCAGCTAACAGTGCTGCTATAACAGCCATGTTGTACAAATGGCTTGACTTCAAGTGCTGACAAAATTATGTCTCCAAAAGGCAGTCCTAATAAACCAACAACTTTATGGAAGAAGCCTAAGAAAAGCCTAATAAAACAAACTGAAGATACATTCCAACATTAAAACAGTTATAGCAACATATTGTACTATTACAATTGTATTCCTAGAAAACACTTTTAAAAGCTAGCATTTTTACAATCTAATAATGCAAAATACCATGCTTCACCAAAAACTATTAAAATCCTGCAAAGTTTTCATGCTACGATTAACTAAAACCAAAAAGAGACCTATACTACTTCTTGCGTTTCTTTCCACGAGTCTTTTTAGGTGCTACTGGAGCCTCAGATTCACTTGATTCGCCATGCAACTGCTTGTTCCTCCCATAGTGCCACAACAGTATACCAAACCTAGCTCGAAGACCATCCACATCAAAATTGGCAACAGGGATTGGAAGATCTTCAATAATATACTTAGCAAAGCATGCAACATATACTCCACAATCTCTGAAATAAAATATATGAATAGAATATAAAAATTAATTAGAAGTGAAAATGTTAATATGAACGAGGAAAACAAAGTAAAAAAAAGTAACTATTCTTACGAATTTTGCTGTGTTGGCAGATTTGTAATCAGTTCAATCTCAAAAGGATCAGTCAACTCCTTTCCCATGTGCAGACCATTTTGTACTACAATGTCACTTCTTTGGTTAAAAAATTCAATGCTAACTAGAAATAGGGGGATCAACACAGCATATGCCTCTGCCACCTTTTGAATAGCTTTTTTGTGCTTTCGACTACGTAGCGAGTCATATACGTAAAAACATCTCTTGTGGAATGATACACACCCCAATATCCAATGCCACTCTTCTACCAAATTAATTGGAAAGAGGACATGATCAACTTGGTGCCATAGAGTGTTGCAATGCATCCTAAATCCTTTCATGTACTCCATGATATTGTCTGATCTATCAATCAAATGATCTTATTTCCCACCTTTTACAAATTCTGTGAAAACCCTTTGAATGATATTATTAAAAAGAGTATCTGTAGTTGTGACTTTGATAGGCATATTAATTCCATATTTCGCCTTCTTCCTAAGATAGTAGAATATAATATTCAAGTGCTGCAAAAAAGAGAGGAAGAAAACATGACTAACACTAACAATATGAATGAACTACTACAACAGCAAAAATAAAAAGCAGTACACATACCGAACTAGACAGCGGCCTGCCAGAATAGTTTAAGGTATGGAAAAATATCTTATCATCAATCTGTTCAACTTCAAAGTCAAAACAAGGGTCCAGCTTTTGATCACCAGGTAAATACACTTCCCTATTTTGTGTAAAAGAAGATATGTATAAGAAATATAACAATAACAATTAAGAAAACATGAAAACAAAAGTACATGGAAACGAATACGCACTCTCCCAATTGCATGTTTGCTTCGACAAAGTTTGAGAATGCAGTCGTAAGTTTATAATCAACAGCCACTGAAATGTCATTTACAAATGGAAATCTTCCTTTGATAACCTTCGAGGATCCCCCAACTGCACTAACACCAGATTGCCAGTCATTCCTATACGGCGACTGTTTTACAGATGCAGGGCGCCTTCTCCGTGTGAAAACTGTAGGAATAGTTTCAACATCGGTTTGTGTCTGGACAATACTTCTTGATACCGACTGATCAGGTTTAGACTTATTTACATCACGAGTTGTCAGTTCATTTCCAGATTGTTTTACATTACGTCTCCCTCCTTGTGTAATGGCAGCAATTAGATCAAGTTGAGAATCAGTATATTCAAAATCAGAATCCAAGTGAAGATCACCCCCGTGTTGACATGGAGCTTAAATTAGAAAATGCTAGTGAATAAACAAATATACAAAGTTAAGAAATTTTAAAAAAAAAAAGAATGAAAAGTTATATATAGAAGACATTACCAGAAGGAAAATTCACATTACTGCCACCAACATCCACTTGACCAACACCATCAACCCGAGATGCTGAACACATAAAAGCATTATCAGCATCACTACTTAAATAAATAAAAAACTATCAAAAACCTCTCATTTACATACTAACTACAGAATTAGTAACATCAACATCGTACCTTGTGGAGCAGTATTAGACTCAATAATAGCATCTGCTCGTGTCTATGCAGGGATTCCTGATGGCAGCGGAGCAGGACCCGACTTTTTAACATCATGAGATGACTGCTTATATGTTGCTTGTTGTGTAATGGGGGTGATTTGATCAATTGCAGATGCAGACAATTCAAATTTAGAATCCAAGCCAAGATCATGCTCATTTACGAAAGGGGCTAAAAAAGTTTTAAAAAAAAGGTTAGTGAACACACAAATACATAGAGTTAAATAAATAAAAAAAAGAATAAAAAAATTACATATACAACATTTTAGCAGAACGCAGATCATCATTAACTACGCCAAGACTTGCTGTGACGTTCTTCACATTGACACCGGTGGCACCTCCATCTCGACCAACCCCACCAAAACCAGACACTAAACATATAAAAGTATGTGCAAGAATACTATTTTCAAAAAACAACAGCAAAAAAAAAATCAAATCTATGATTTACGTACTAGAAGGCGCTTTGGGCGTGCTATCTCCAATAACCACAGGATCATTCCCAACGTGGCCCCTTTCAAACTGGTCATAATCATTATGCATGTCATGAAAGTCAGGATAATCATCCTGTTGCTTATGCTGAAAATGAGAAACTAACAATTTTATTATTATGTATATTACAAGAATACTATGTGCACTAAAAGTAAAGAATGGAATAGTATCCTATAAGCATATATTGCATCTGTGAACAATATACTATAGCATTATATTATATAAAAGATCAATACCGTTGAATTTCCCTCTAGTTTCATTGACTGCCTACCAATAGCTGCAAGCACCTCCTCAAACTTGGTCTCTACAAAAAGCTTCAAACCTTGTAACTCCTTCATTACCTCAGCATTGGTAGGTTGGGAATCATCTCCAGTACTTTCATGCATACTTTGTGTCTTTGGTAATTGAGTGCCAAAACCTGAAAGCTATCGGGCTGACTATCAGTGCACTCAACTTCAATTTCAAAGTTTAGACCATGCACATCAAATAGTTGTTTCTCATCATCAGTTGAGGTGATGTTCTTTAGCTGCAATTATTAAGCACACTAGTTAGAAATAGAAATGATAATAAAGTATGGAAAGATAAAAGATCCCTCTTACCATATGATACCAATATAGTATACATGTATACCAACAGAGTATATCACTGATCTGGGAATTGCTACAACTAACTGTGACTAAACTACTGTACCAAAAATATTAAAAGATGCAATAAAAGTATGAGAAAATTAAAAGTATAAGTAGCAATAAAACTATAAGTATAAGAAAAGATCCCTATTACCATACGATACCAATATGGTATACATGTATACCAACAGAGAATATCATTGATATGGGATATTGCTACAACTACCAATGACTAAAATACTGTACAAAAAACATTAAAAGATGCAATAAAAGAATGAGAAAATTAAAAGTATAAGTAGCAATAAAAGTATAAGTAGCAGAAATGATCCCTATTACCATATGATACCAATATGGTATACATGTATACCAACAGAGAATATCATTGATCTGGGATATTGCTACAACTACCCGTGACTAAACTCCTGTACCAAAATATTAAGAAAGGCAATAAAACTATGAGAAAATTACCTGCTCGCGTTGCAAGCTAGACATTCGCAAAGCAACTCGCTCATTCGGTATTTGACCCATGACTACCCAATTCAAAATTCGTGGAAGTTTGTTTCCAATATGATCAGCAAAGTGACCATCCAAACTTGGGCAGCATTCATACAACCAAATATGTAAAGCCAACGGGAAGCCACCGAGTCTATAAAAAGAAGGCTTATCTTGAAACTT